TAAACAAAAGAAAAGAAATGCACTTCATTAATTTCTCCCATCCATGCGTCTTGTTGATGCCAAACAGTCAAAAGAAATCTACAATATGGTGGGATACAAAAAATAAAAGTTTAATCAATATAATCGGATCATATTTAGCATTTCATTTAGTTGTTGGAATTACATTTACAGAACTTTATAATTTGTATCATTACAAAGAATGAAAAAAAGGAAAAAAAAAAACTGTATATCATGTGTATGTTCCAAGAGATAATCTCATGATCACCCTCTGGCTATAAATATACAGCAAATGATGTGATTAACAATAACAAAGAATAGAGGAATTTTTTTTTTATATATAAAAAGATTGAAACCGATATTGGAAAATGAAATCCAAACTCGAAATATTTTTTGTTGAGTTCAGAAATCAACGAGAGATCTAGTTAGCTATAGGTTTACTCATTGATTAGTAGCAGTACCGAATGGAACGATGAGATCGGGATAGGCGGGGGCGCCATTTCTCCGACGCAAAGGGACAGCGGAGTTGTGTCTTTCAGTGATAGGGCAGTCGGTTCCACCAGTGCCAGGAATGAAGGTGCAGCCAGAGGCACCTGAAGGTGGCACCTCACCCCTATGTAGAGACTGCGTGCTAAACACTTTGCTCCCCAACGCCGTGTCTTCAGCCAACATCCTACCCGCAGCCTTGTCATGTGATATTACCACAAGGAGAAGAGCTAACAAGAATGTGTTCGCAACTCTCATGGTTTAGGGGTTTGATGAATTTGGAAAAAGAAATAATAATATGATGATTTTCATGCATGGGTGGCTGTATCTATATATGTGTGTGTGTGGTGTTTCGAGAATTTTCCATCATTGTAATTTTAATTTGTTGAAAGCTTTTGACTGTTGACTCCCAGGTTTAATTATTTTTAATCATCATAATAATAAAAAATATTGTTCAAATATTGAACGGGTCATAGATAACCAGGAGAAGACCTCATATTAATTAATTAATAATAATAATAATAATAATAAGAAGGAAACAACAAGAGAGTTACTTGTGCAGGACGTTTTTCGTCATTAATTTGTCAACTCTTGATAAATATACTTATCGTAATCACTGAGTTAATTATGTATAAATTTATAAATGCATAAAGACATATACATATAATATATATATAATATTACTGGTCTTCAATCGTTGTTCTTCTTAACGTGGGATTTGGAGCTTGTGGTTTGCCGCGAAAGAAGTTTCTAGGAAATGAAGGTTTTTGTTGAATGTTTGAAACAATATTAGAAAGTAGTAAGTTGGTCAGCGATCATATGAACTCTTATCTAATCGGGAAAACAATATATCATGCTGTGTGTCATTCCATCACCAGCAACACCAAGTTTTGACGTGGTGTATATATAAATATAATTTGAATAATCAAACTCCATAAAAATCTGCAAAGACATAGTAGAATATTAATGTATCATGATATTTTTTCTACAAATTATTATCTAGTAAAAATTTTTAATATTTTTTAGAAACATAGTGTAAAACTATACATAAACGACATTACAAAAAAGGCGGAATCTAATTTTTTATTTTGACATTAGATAGAGTAAAATTTATATTTGTAAACATTTTTCTGAAATAATAAATTACTTTTGACACGACTATAATTGTTAGTTATTAATAATACATGTTTATAATATATTATAAAATTACATAAGAACAAGATTTTTTTTATAATTATTAAATACACAGCGATGCAAAATGTTTTTGTCTTCGATTTCTGAAAAAAAACTCAATGATTATTCATCTTGTGTTTTTGCTCTTAATTTTTTTTCATGTGTTTCAATTTTTGTTTCTCTTTTATGATGGCGTCAGTGTTAACAAAGTGAAAATTTTTATGTTTGTGCTAATTGTTCCATGGAGGGTGGATGATTAACTGGATATGGGTTTTGCTGGTTTCTGTGGATTGTCAGTGGAGGACTAAGACATATAGAGCACGTTTTTTTATTTTAGAATATATCAACCTTATAAATATGCTCTTGATTTGTGGTAAAAATATCAACTACATAATTGAATGAATAGTTATGTACTTTAAGATTTGAACTTTAAAAGTAAAGAGAAATTGTTCATCATGCCTAAATTCTCGATTAGGACATGCTTTTTTAAGAAACTCGATCTCACTTAGGATAACACATTATTCAAAAAATATGTATGTTTTTTTTAAAATTATCATCCACTAAAAATTATTTTCGTTCATTTATTTACAATTTCTCCATGTCCATGCTAAAAAACTCCATAACTGGTAGAACTTAAAGGTTGTTTTCAAATAACATTCGGAAAGTAGGTCATGAACAGTCTAGAACTTAAAGATTCAAGCTATGAGGGTTCTGGGTTTGCTGGAATTCCTAGACATGTAGAATCATGGATTGTTGAGGACACAAGGGCTTTAAAATTTAGTAAGACAATAACTTTTAAGGCTCCATGCAAAATTGACATTTTCAAAAAAAATATTCCCATTAATCATAAGAACAAACATTATATTATGTTTACTAGTCAGAAGTTATAAATCACTCAAAAAATGCTCCAAATTCTTAAAAATTAATGACATGGGGTACATTGCAATAAGGAAAAAGAAAGGAAAATGATAAGAAAAGCTAAATAGGAATCTAGATGTGATTGAGACCAATCCATGACAAGCCACCTCGCTATCTTTGCTACTCGCCCTCTCCACCCTTACCTTAACCTTTGACCCGAGATCCTTAATACATACAATCAAGATATTACATATCAGTTGGATTCAAGTATTGGGATAATGATCATGAAAAATGACAATTATGTTATTGAGAGTTATCTCTAATTTGTTCTGTCAATAAACATTGATTAATGATGTGGTAGATTTATCCAATAATAATAGACTTGTGTTCAGTAGATGATCTTGAAATAATTGAACTGCGAATATCTTCTAATTTTTATATCATTCCTATGGATAACAAGAACCATAGAAATATCAAAATTGAACAACGAGACATTCACTTCCAATTATGCATTTAATTAGATATGTCTATCTATTCAGTGCATAAGAAAAAGAATCAATTGAGTTCCTATCAAGAGTATATTTGATAATATAAAATGTGATTAAGAGTTCTTAATATTTTTAAAAGAAAATTATAGGAAATGAGTGAATTGTTTTACGAATAAAAAAGAAGCATGAGTTATCATAATTAAATAAAGAATATTTAGATTGAATGATATTTTTTAAAATGAGAAAGAAGAGTTAGATATCAAAATACTTTTTCTAAAACCATAAAGAAAAATTAAAGATTGAATGCTACCTATCTAGAATACAAAGGAGAGTCAGAGATTGAGTTTATATCAAGGGACTTGATAGAAAAAAGAAAATTGAATAAAAAGGAAAATAAAGAAAAGAGAGTTAAAAATAAGGTCCAATTACTATATTGATCCCTAAACTTTGGGTCATTATTCAATTTAGTCTTAAATAAAATTCTTGCATTGAATTCATTCTTGAAGTATCATATTTTTCTCAAATAAATAATCAGAAAAAACGACGTTGTATATTTTAATAGAAAAAACTTTAAATACTAAAACATGCTTGTGTGAGCTGAAAAATAAGTCTTAACAATTGGGAAAAAAACAAATCTTTTACCTAGCATGAAATGTAAACAACTAGAAGAAGAGAAAAATGAGCTAAAAATGCTTGAAGGCAAATGAGT